TCAACATCGGTCTCATCTCCATCTTTCACACGATTATTACAGGTTAAAGCTATAGGAGCAAGAGAAGTGTTCCATTTTTTGACAGAATAAGATACTTACGGAGACATCGACCGTTTGAACATATGTTGCTTTTGCAATCTGAATTTATCGCACACACCTTGATATTATCACACTTCTTTCCACAAGCTGCACATTTACCACCACAATTAACATCGGTCTCATCTCCATCTTTCACACGATTATTACAGGTTAAAGCTATAGGAACAAGAAAAGTGTTCCATTTTTTGACAGAATAAGATACTTACGGAGACATCGACCGTTTGAACAGATGTTGCTTTTGCAATCTGAATTTATCGCACACACCTTGATATCATCGCACTTTTTCCCAAAAACTCTATATCTACCGCCGCAGTCAACATCGGTCTCATCTCCATCTTTCACACGATTATTACAGGTTAAAGCTATAGGAGCAAGAGAAGTGTTCCATTTTTTGACAGAATAAGATACTTACGGAGACATCGACCGTTTGAACAGATGTTGCTTTTGCAATCTGAATTTATCGCACACACCTTGATATCATCGCACGCTTTTCCAAATACTCTACATCTACCACCGCAGTCAACATCGGTCTCATCTCCATCTTTCACATGATTATTACAGGCCAAAGCTATACGAATAAGACGAATATTCGGTTTTTTGACACAATAAGGTACCTACGGATACATCGGCGGTTTGAGCAGATGTTGTTTTTGCAATCGAATGGTTTACTGCACACTTTAGCGAGGTCGCACTTCTTTCCTATTGTTGCACATTTGCCGCCACAGTCGACATCGGTTTCATCCTGATTTCTCACTTTGTCATTGCATGTCGGAGCTGGAAGTCGTAAAGATTGGTTAGTCGCACGATATATGACAGAGTCAGTGAAGAAATGATCTAGTTTAAGTTTGTAGTCCTTCATATTTCGGTATAATAAATGTTCACATCGTAATCTTTGTTATATGTTTTTTGTGTCATGTTAATCTTCCACTTAATTATAATATTGCCGTCTTATAGAGTAAAATGACTTTGCTATGCGACGGTTTTCTTAGGATATTTTTTCTTAGTTACATCTCCTCTACTGTTTATGCTGAAGTAGTGGATTACTGTTATGAGCTAAGGTTGTGGTTGATGGAGTTAGGCTCTTTTCTTCAACGCTTGAACATATAGGTGGTCTTATGAATTTGTTTTTTCTGAGAAAACTGAGTTATTTTGCTCATAGTTCCGATGCTGATTAGTTTGGAATTTTAGAATGAAGGCAAGTTTAAAAGTTGCATTTCTGCAGGTGTTATAGTCCTATTAAGCTTTCTGTTTGCCAATCGGTAATCAGGCACAAAAATCGCTCATGGCAATAAAAAGTAAGAAGTACTACAAAAGGGCGGTTGTATCATTACAGTAGTAATTACAATGCAGATATGACTATTCGAGCAATTGATTCGATTGCTGTTGGATGAAAAAAAAATGCATCATGACTCATGTGGATATACCGGCCAATCCGATCTGCTCTGACTGCTCAGACCGGAAACGATAACGATAACAGTGAAGAAAAAGTCCTGCTGACTTCTACTTCGGTTTACAGATTGGAGAACTTCGTAGTACTTTATTAATGGATTTTCTTGCGTCAGTGTCACTTGAAATCTCCTATATGATGCAGAAAAAAAACAAATATTTTTTTGCTGAATATTCTATAGCTTAATGCAAACTTAGTAGAATGAAAATATGAATATGCTACTTTTCCACGGATTATGTAGATATTGTAAAGCTTATAATTGACAATTCATCACGGTAAGAATCATTAGTGAGAAATTCTCAGAAAAAAAACATTGCTCAATTCACAAGTAACTATGCATATTCCGTGTACATTTTCATTTCTATTCAAATATCAATGTGTAAAGATGAGTTTACGAAAACAATTCGATCATGATCCATATCGGCTGAAATTGACCGAAGTGCTAGCCAGTCAAGAATGACATCTCATAATATTTCTTAAATGGGTTTTCAATAATCCACGACATACTATCAAGATATTTTAACTATACTGAAACATATGCCAATTCCTATTTCTTGATTGATGAAAATCGTAGAAGTTGAAGCACTCAATATTCGTTAAATATTAGAATTAACTCGTTGATCAAACTATTGATTTCAATATTATTTCGGAACAAAATTTTAGAGCACTCGATAACTTTTCCTACTAATTTAAGTTCTCAACACTGAATAGTGAAAATATTAGTGCCAACACATGTACAAATCTGTGGAACATGAAGATGTTTACCTATTAGTTTATTTCTGTGATCATCGCGTCGTGACCGTAATAAAGAATGTAATGATGAATCGGCAGTGTTCTTGCATTTGATCAACGCAAGTTGACTGAAGCTTCCATCCTCGAATTCAAATTTCAGTGAAATACTTGAAGTATATGCAGCAATACGAGCTTGGATAACATTGGCAAACTTGTCTTTACAAGGCTTATTTGTGGCACAGCTTTCCGGATAGACTATAAACATGCGAATTTCTGCAATTGAGCGATGAGGTGCCAACTGATTACACATAGGTCTAAAACAGAAATAGATACATATTGAGAATAGATACACTATAAAGAAATCAAGCGAAATGAAGACGCACATGTCATGTGTTTCGCTGTGAAGTTGAAGGCGATGGCGACGATCATCAGCATCTGTTTCACCATTATTGAACACAACAGTGCTGATATAGATGGAGCCTGATTTGATACCATAGACAACTTCTAACTAAAATTCCATGCAGTTTAATTAGTTTAGACATGCATAATAACTATTTGAAATATGATTACTTTTCGAGCAATCTCATAAGAATTGATGACTTCGGTACTCTGATTTTTGTTTGGCATCCAATTTGAGGAGAAAATTTGCGCTATTTCGTCAGATTCTACAATATGAAATGAATGATCACAATAGGCAATCGTTTCTTAGAGCATTTTTTGCAAAAATTGAGTCAGTCATTATCTGAAAAGTTTGCTCGAAGATACTCAAAATCTAAAAAAAGTCGATTTACGAACGTCAAATACATTCAATAAAGTAAACGACTCTGATGATCTTTTCTTGCTCAATTTCTTATGGTAGTAGTGAGATATAATATTCAGCAGTAAATACAGCCGGCCAAGAAAAATTCGATCCATCCATGGTCTATATTGCTCAGTTGTTACTTTTGGTTCTGACAAATGTATGGATAGTTTTTTGCATTCTCTGGTGAAAAAAAATATGGCACTTGAACAACGTGAACCAAGCTCGTTGAGAACATGGGAACAACACTTTTCTATTTTTTTCGTCAAGGATCAGCACTCTGTCTTTCTCATCTTCGGAAATTACTTGGTGACTAACCAGTAGTTTAAAAGTTATCAAAATGAGAACTTTCATCCATCTTTGATAAAGAAAAAACTAGGACATCCGGATGTTTCCAATGCTAGTTCGATATATTACTTAGTTACTGATGCATTTTAAGTTGTCATATGAAATTCAGTATCTGAAAGTACACAACAAAAAGAAAATGGGTAAATAGTATAACAAGTGGCAAATTTTCGTACATATGAGTCGTAACACGTAATAAACAGTCGAAACTGTTCAACTGATAGCGTCAGATTGGTGTAACGGTCTCAAGTATTATCGAGGCAAGATACTGATGAAAATTCACACAATTCACTTGCTAAAAGACATCTCAGTACTGTTGAAATATTCAATTATTTCAAGAAACTCAGGTGAAAATCACCTAGTTCTAGGTACTTCCTCCGAAAACTATATTCCGATCACTGCCCATATTTATCATTTCTTGTATCAACTTTTATTCGAATAAATATTTTTTCGTAGTGTCACAAAATAATTTTGAAAATATTTATCAAAATGCGAGAATACATCCTATTCCGCGATGTTGAACATTACGGAATCAGTTCCGCACCCGGAATCAATTCCCTCCAATTACGGGAACTCGATCAGGGTGCTACAGCGCAGATCCAGTCAACATTGATCGAGTTCCGGCAATTACAGGAATTCCGGGAATTCGATTAAAATGGAATTTATTGCAATTCCGGGAACCCCNTCAGGGTCACCATTGTAAAATGGAACCATTTCCATAACTCGTTGTCTAAATTTCATCTCGTTGGTGGTAGTGTCGAAGAGAGGTTGATTCTTGGCTGCCATTGTGCTTTTCTGGATTGGTGTTTGAGAAGACGACGTTTTTGGTATTGTAGATTGATATTCAGTGGGTATGGTTAGAAGTGTCTTAGGTACTGGATCATCATTGTCAGGATTGAACATGAATCAGGAGAAGAAGACGTTGTAAAGGACGAGGTACAGACTAGAAGAAACCGGAGTTCACGGCACCAAATGTTAGCCTGTCTGTAGGGCTAAGAGAGAGAACGAGAGTGAGAGTGTGTGTGTGTTGTAGACTTTATTTTCGAAGGAAAAAAAATTATATTTTTATGAAAAAAAATAGTGTATATATATGAGAGAAAAAAAAGAAAAAAAATGTGATATATGATCACATTTTTGACACAACGCATCATGCATCATGAATCAGGAAAAAAAGGAAGAAGAAAGCAAAAAATGTGATCCTAGATCACATTTTTAACAAAACGCGCATAAAAGAAAGTGATGACTTGAGTCATCGCTAACACCTCCCCTCTTTGACAAAAACTGAAACGAAACGAGAGAAGAATAAAAGAAAGAGTTTTGTGTGGTTTATTGTTCAGTGGTAGTAGCGGGATCATACGCTGTCTTCGATATTTAAGTTGGAGAGAAATTGAAATAGTGGTTGATCCGAGGTTGTATGAGGATCGCTTTGTTTTGGTGGACATTTTTCGGCATGTGGTGTGATTATTTGTTTCAACGCGATAGTATAGCGTTCAGTTTGTTGACGAGCAGCCGCTTGTTGTTTAATCTGTTTTTGTTGTCGTTTTTGTAATTGATGTTCACGATAACAGTTGCATACAGTTTTACGAAATAACAAGAGAAGTGTTAGAAGAAAATTTATGATTAATGAGAAAAGTAAAATTAATCGGGTTGTTCGGTTTTCTTGTGTATAATGTGATGCAAATATGTTATGACTATCGACACCAAGATTACATTCTTTCATAATCTGCTGTTGTACACATTTTGTTTCACAGTGACACTCCGGATGACAAATACAGGGTTTGCATTCCAATTTAGGCTGACCAAAGAGAAAAGGATCGACAGCCGGAACGAATTGAGCAACGAGAAAAAGCATAGCAATAAGTAGACTTGACATTATCAGTATGATGAAGAGAACAGTTTTAATCATGAAATTATGTAGTAAAATGTATATTGTTCTCTCACGTACACCAAGCCAATGAATGTGGTATGTGGAAAGGCAAAATGAGACTAGTATGGATCGAAGATAAGTATCATTTGTTTTTTATTTTTACCATAATCACGTTCTAATGAATAAAAGAGAAGTATTATATTTTTATGTTGGCTATGATTGAGTTTTAGGTAATGAGTATATCGTTAAATGTTAGGATCAGATTCATAGGCTGGAATAATTGGACGTATGTCAGAGACGTGAAATTGTTTTACAACGCCGGTAGACTCATTGAGAACAGAATAAGTAGGATGACGGATCTCGGTAATAATGTTTGGTTCCGAAGAATAACGAGGATCTAATTTTCCGCGTGCAGTGAAGATTTTTGTGAAGACGCGGTCTCCAATATGATAATGAGGATCAGGTCGATGTTTATCATAACGTTCTTTATTATACTTTTGTTGTACTATAATGTTGTTCTTAGCTTGTTGATGATAAACTTGTAGAATTCTTTGGAGATTTTCAAAGCAGATATTTGGTCGATCAAAGGTGTAGAATTGTGGACGAGGATCAATTGATAGTTGTGGCGAACGACCAAAGAGTAGTTCGAAGGGTGAAAATTGTGTAGTCTTGTGCTTTGAAGTATTGTATGCAAAGATAACAGGGTCGAGGTAGTCATCCCAGTTGTTATGGTGTTTATCTTCAAGTTTAGAAATTTGGACCTTCATTGATGCATTGAAACGTTCAGTGACTGCATTCGTTTGTGGATGATAGGCAGTGCTGTATATATGATTGTAGCCAAAGAGATGTGTCAGAGCACACATAAGATGATTGTTGAAATGTGTGCCCTGATCGGTAATCAGTGTAGAACAGATTCCATATTTACAAAAGATGTCGCGATAGAGTGTCATTGCCGTTATTTCTGCTGTGTTAGTCGTGGTGGCGATAGCAGTAACGTGACGTGTAAATAAATCAGCGATGACGAGAACAAACTTATTCCCTTGGGGAGACTCAATGAAAGGACCGCAAAAATCCATGCTGATTACGGAATATGGGATGTCTGTGGGAGGAATGGGATGAAGATGACCCGGCTTTTTGTGGCGACTGTAGTTGTATTGTTTAGCTGAGTAATGATGCGCTGAATATCAGGATCATTATTTTGTTCTTGTTTTAGATCGTGACAGTTAAAATTATTCGGTGACGGAGAAGTAATGATTTGAGAAGAAGACGCAGAATCGGCCGTATGACATGTGTCGGTCTTGAATTCTGCGTTCGTGACATCGTTATCGGTGTCAGCGTCATCGCTAGAAGGAGGAAGAGGAAGTGCTTTATGACGAGGACGAAGAACCATAGGCGAAATACAGTTTGTAGAAGGCAGAGACATGGAGATAGAAGAGAGCGGTTGTTTACTTTCAACACCGTATGGAATGTCGAAGAGAGGATCATCAAAAGGTCGAGAGAGAAAATCTGGTAAACAGTTACTTTTACCGGTAATGTGTTTCATTTCGGCAATATTATATTCCTGGATCACGTTGGCTACACGTTCTATACGTCGGTTGTTGATTGGTTTTTTCAAAAGCCCACAAATTGGACAATGATCAGTATGAATGTAGAGAGTTCGTCCTAAGACATAAGTGCGCATTCGGTGTAAGCACTGAAATATTGCTAGAGCTTCCTGCTTGAGTACAGAGTATTTTCTCTCGATTGAAGAGAGAACTTTGGAGTGGTAGAAAAGATTGCGACGTTCCCCATTAATTTCTTGAAACAATACTCCGCCTGTGGCTATGCCGCTGGCATCCGTAGATAAGTGTAGAGGATAGCCATCAACCGGAAAGTGAAGATAGAGTTCCGTGGTGAGCATACGTTTTAAACTGAAGAAGGCTCGTGACTGTTCTTCTGTCCACTGAAATAAATGTCGTTTATCTTTTGTTAAATTTGTTACCTTGTGAATAGGAGCAGCCATATGTGCAAATCGAGGAACAAATTTTCGATAGTAAGCTAATCCACCTAAGAACTTATTAGCTTCTTTGAGTGTACGAGGTTCGCGGAGATCGAGTATTGCTTGAATGGCTTCGTTGTTAGGAGTAAGAGTGTGTTCAGAGACGATATGCCCAAGGAAGTCCACCTTGGTAACAGCTATCTCACATTTTGAAGGACTAAGAATAATTTGGTTGTTAGTAAATAGTTGAAAAACTAGGTTTAAATGATGAAGATGCTGTTGCAAGGTTTTCGAGTAGATGATGATATCATCAAGATAGACACGCGCGAAGTCACGACAAGGTTTCAGGAGATTCGACATAGTTTTTTGAAAACACGCTGGTCCATTTGTCGGTCCCATAGGTAGTACCGAAAATTCGTAATGTCCAGAAGAGACGACAAAGGCAGTTTTTTCTTGATCTTCTTTTGGAATTTGAAATTGATGATAACCACTTTTAAGATCTAACTTGGAGAAGTACTTGAAACCTCTACCAAGTTCTTGTAAAGTATCTTCGATGTGAGGCAAAGGGCTCGCATCAGGTATAGTGATTTTGTTGAGAGCACGGTAATCAACTACCAGACGACCAGGCCGATTTTCTTTTCGGGGGACGATAAAGGCTGGAGCTGCATAAGGAGAATATGATTCATGAATTATTCCAGCGTCGAGAAACTCATCAATGAGCTGTTGTGTCTCTTCCCTGTGATGAGGATTGCGATGTGGTCGAAATGCTGGAGGAGAGTGAGGAATGGTGTTGAAGACCTGTTTGATGATAATCTTAGAGATGTTGTATTTAGAAGTGTCGAAAAGATGAGAGAAACGAGACAGAAGAGACGAAACCTGAGTTCGTTCCGCGTCGTCCGCGAGTTTTTCGATAAGTTTGGTAAGATCTGGTGCTAAGGATCGAGAGAAAGATGGACGGAAAGTGGTGATTGCCGCTTGTAGATGTGGTGATAATATCAGGTTTCGAGGTGAAGTTGTTTTAGACATACGTTGTGGAAGTTGTTGATGAGTGAAAAACGTCGAAGAGCGAATTTGTTTGTTTCTTTTCTCATTGTATTTCTCGCAAAGATCAGAAATCTGAGCGGAAAATGATTTTCGAGGTGGAGGTATTGTTAGATATCCGAAACAGAGATGGTGAGAAATGGTTTGAGTAAAAGCCGAGTGATTTGTGACGGATAAGGAAGATACGTGATGCCCAATGATAAGGTTTTTCTGGTTGGTTGATACATGTGGGTGTTCTAAAAAGGTTGATGTAGGAATAAGGGTTGAGGACAGTGAGAAAACGGGAGAAGAGACAAAAATGTCTACGGTGGATTTTGCCGGCAGAAGAACGGTCGGAACGGACCGAATAGGGACGAATGGAGGGCGAAGCGTTTCATCAACAGCGAGAGTTATCCAACGACCATTTTTTCTAATGGAAAACTGACGAAGATTCACGTCAATTTTCGCAGCGAAGAAAGAGAGAAAATCGATGCCCAATATGAGGTCGACGCAAAGGTTTTCAGTAACAAGTGCGGAAAAGGAGATGAGTTCAGTTGCAATTTGCATGGAGAGTTCGACGTGTCCGAGTACACGAAGTGAAATGAAACCGTCGGCGAGCAAAAAGGAGCGAGGCGTTCGATCGATGAAATGAACGTGAGGTAGGCGAGATAAAGCTTGTGTACTGATACAAGTAGCAGACGCACCAGTGTCAATAAGTATCTGGAGTGGAATATCATTAATGAGGAGAGAAGCATAGAGTAACGCAGATTTCGATGGATTTAGAGGAGGCTGTTTGGAGACAGAACCACCAGACTCTGACCCCAATTTTAAAAAGGACAGTCTCGAGCGGAGTGTCCATGCTGATTGCACCACTGGCAAGACAATATTTGTTGCGGAGGAGTTGTAGATTGAGATGGAGGCATCAGGGGAGGTATGGATTGGTGTGAGTGTTGCGTGTCAGGAGTAGCTGAGGTATAGGCGAAGAGGTTTTGTTGTCGTGGTGGCTGGGATGGATTGTATGTTGAGGATTGTGGACTTCCTGAGTGATGTTTTGGAGAGGACGTAAATTGATTAGAAGTTGTATTAGAAGTTGTATTAGAAGATGAACGTTGAGTGGATCGAAAGTTATTTTGTCTTCGATAATAATGAGAATTCGAGGCAGGTGATTGTTGTGTAGCGGGATAATTATAGCCAGATGGTGGTAAAGCGGTATAAGTAGTCACATTTGATGGAGTATATGTTTCATATGCGTTTAGTGTAAGAAAAGCATTTTCAACGTCTAATGCAATTTGTTCAAATTCGTCTGCATCTGTTGGTTTAAGTTTTAATATTTCCGGACGATAAGTCGGGTTAACTGAGCGAAGGAGAAAGTCAAGTCGCATTTTCTTGCTCATATCAGGATCATATTCTTTGCATAACTTTCGCATCGCGCTGCAAAAACTTCGAATGTCTTGATCTGCGGATTGATGATAGTACTGTAGTTTTTGAAATGCAAGTTGCGACCGATTAGGAGAATCATAGACTGTTTTAAATTGTTCAACAAAATCTGGCCATGATCGATTGAGTGATGATTTGCGTTCAATGAACCAATTCAGAGCCCCTTTTTCTAACAATTCAGTAAGATAGTCAAACTTTTTAACATCGCTAATTTCTGCTATTTGAAACTTGCGTTCCAATTTTTCAAGCCACTTAATAACATCCTGTTTATGTTCACCGGAGAATTTTAGAGATTTATCTTCTCGAAATTGAGTAATGATGGACTTTCGATATTCATTTTGAGTTAAATCATCTGCTGATTGAGCAAATGTTATGGATGTTGTTGGTAAAGATGTGGTTGTAGTCAAATTAGGATCGAGACGTGTTGAATTCGCTACTGGCTGAGCCATAGAGAGTGTTAAGTTAGAGATTGAATCAAGTGACGCGAGAGTTCGCAAAGGAGCTTTACCAGCGGCATGTAAGAGAAGCTTTCGGAGATCGGTGAAATTGTGAATTAGATCTTCATGAGCACTATATATATCGAGAGCCTGTTCAGTAAGAAGAAAACGTATAGCAAAGACTTGATGAGCATCGGGAACACATTCTTTGGCAAAAAATGCTCCCGTATCACGTAACCAGTCCGAAAGGGTTTCAGGGTCACCATTGTAAAATGGAACCATTTCCATAACTCGTTGTCTAAATTTCATCTCGTTGGTGGTAGTGTCGAAGAGAGGTTGATTCTTGGCTGCCATTGTGCTTTTCTGGATTGGTGTTTGAGAAGACGACGTTTTTGGTATTGTAGATTGATATTCAGTGGGTATGGTTAGAAGTGTCTTAGGTACTGGATCATCATTGTCAGGATTGAACATGAATCAGGAGAAGAAGACGTTGTAAAGGACGAGGTACAGACTAGAAGAAACCGGAGTTCACGGCACCAAATGTTAGCCTGTCTGTAGGGCTAAGAGAGAGAACGAGAGTGAGAGTGTGTGTGTGTTGTAGACTTTATTTTCGAAGGAAAAAAAATTATATTTTTATGAAAAAAAATAGTGTATATATATGAGAGAAAAAAAAGAAAAAAAATGTGATATATGATCACATTTTTGACACAACGCATCATGCATCATGAATCAGGAAAAAAAGGAAGAAGAAAGCAAAAAATGTGATCCTAGATCACATTTTTAACAAAACGCGCATAAAAGAAAGTGATGACTTGAGTCATCGCTAACATAGATGTCTCGGTTCCAACTCGTTGAAGCCTATTGGATAAATACGGAGGAGGAGATTAAAACATGGGTACTTACGATAAACAGTCGTCGAACGTCTAAACTAAATATGAACTATTTTTTTCTATAAAAATTATCTTATCAATTTTTAAATGAATAGTACTTAGGGATGTCATTTTCCTGTAAATTTTTGTTTGAAATTTAAATACCCAATCTTTATGAGTTTAAGTTGAATTTAAATTTTTCAGATTCTTTTTTTGGATTTGATAAATTTGTTTAAATGTAAATTCATCACCCCGAATAGTACTTTGAATTTTAATACTTGCTAAGATTTTTCAAAAAATTAGTAAGACAAATTTAATTGAACAAAAGAGCACATTTTCACCTGCCTAACTAATGAATTGGCTTTTTCGCGAGTTTTAGATGTCATATTAGGAATTTAATTGATAAATATGGCATTCGGTTAATAATGGAGTTTTGGGATAACATATAAAATCAGCATTTAAAACTTTTTTCAAAGGCTAATAACAATATTCGTTAAGACTTTGTTTTCTTTAACATCACTGTAGATTTTGTTCTTACTTGTGGTTTTCTTTCATTTTATGTCAATTACTTTCTAGAAAGTTATGAAATTAAGAACAAAATTCGTGCAATATAGATCACTCTCAGGGTTGCCAGATCCTCCGAAATGGCAGGAAAAATTCCGAATTTTGACATTTTCGAAATTTTCCGATATGAAATATTTTTCTAGATTCGAACTTTATAAGTTTTATTATACGTTCTAATTTCATTTTTACCGGTAGTCAATGTATCATCTTTTTTCTTTTGTAATGATTAAATAGCACAGAGCTTTAAGATCAGTGAAAGTACACGCTCACATGAATCCAAAACCTTTCCGAACTGAACGAGACATCTTGTGTTGTGAAAAAAGTCATTTGAATAGTCTATTTCTTCAACGTGAACTAAATTCTAAATTTCAAAAGACGCGTTTTCCCACATGATAACTCTCACATGTTAAACTGAATTAGATGCAGCCAATGAATGATGAATTTCAGGGTTCGAATATTAATATAAATGAGATTAAAGAAGAGAAAAAACTATAGGAGTAACATCTTTCACACAAAATGATGATGGAAGAAAAAATATTCAAAAAAGAACGGCGATATATGAATTTAAGCGTCAAAAACATGCCTTCCGATTTTTTTTCGAAGTAGTATGAATAAAATTCCATTTTACAACTTTTCAAACTGGCAACCCTGGCTAGATCTCATATTTGGACCAAATATACTAGGTCTTAGAGAAGCCGCCGATAGTTAGTCTTTGTCCTTAAGATTTTGTTCAAAAAGACAGGAATTCTTTCTCGCACTCTAATATTATTAGTGCTAAAATTCATTGTTTTTCTGTTATATTTTGTTTCTATCTTTTTGGCTGTTTGCATCAGCCTATATTAGATGATTTACATTCTTTTGACTCTTAACTTGTTTTTGAGTTTTTACATAGAAAATTATACAAGAATGGAGTACAATGAAATGAAATAAAATGAATTTGATAAAAAAAGATAGTAGACTCATGTAACAGACAGATAGGACTGCAAGAGAGACGTTCAGACGTTTTTTAATAAAACTTTAAGGGCAAAGCCTGATGATGGGTACTTTTCTGAGTATTATCTTATGGTATATTTGGTTCAAATATGAGATCTAGCTATTAATCCATTAACAAAAAGTTGGAAAGAATTCGCAGTTTCTTTACTTTTCAGCCACCCTGTATATGAGTAAAAAAATCAAGTTTTCATACAGATTACAAGAAGATCAACTCTAACTATAATAATTTTTCAACTATATCGTATACAAGTATTAAATTAATGAAGAAAAAGAAATACATAATGTCATTATTCTTTTTATTGTTCGTTTAAGATGTGAACTATTTCTAGAAGCCAAAATGCAACTTCAGCACTTTGATCATATGAAGAATTAATTGATCCAGGAAATATGCCTTGTTCAGATTGTTGATTTATAAGAGAAGTAGTAATTTTTTCAATAGCATCTAAATATTTTTCTTTCAATGTATCATCATATTTATAAAGCAAAGCTGCTGACCATGCTAATTTATGACTCATGTTAGATGAATAAACATGTTCATTACATGTTAATGCAAAATTCATATAATCTTTTGCACCTTGAAGAAATTTTTTATCATTTGTTTTCTCATATAATAATACTAAAAATCCAATTGGATAACCAATCATAAAATAAGCTTGTTGTGGTTCATTTTTACGAACAATATATGCCCATGACATTTCCGATGAATAATTAGTAATTAAATTATCATTTTTATCCAAACGTAAATATAATCCATTTGTTAAATCGGATTGTTTTTCAAATACTTTCAAAAGATAATTACCTGCTTTGATAGCACGTTCAATATTGCCATGTTCCAATTGTAAAAGGCCAAGATGTGCTGTTGTTAATATATCAGTAATACCATTATTATTTGTTTCATTTTTATTTGTTAAATAACCACCATTCTCATATGAATATGCGTCTAAATAGTTGTATGCTGAATCAGTTATATCAGTTCGATTCAATTTTTGTGCGGCACGAACGATCCATCCATTTATATAGACCCAATATTCGATATATTCTGGTTGATCACTTTTCTTATCTATTGTTGTTAAAAAGTCACCATTAAAGAGAAAAATATTTTTAATATAATCTAATATGTTATTAGCTTGTTTTTCATTTCTAGCACTAATAAACATCATTGGCGATTTAAAATAACATGCTAAATCTTTTGCTTCTGTTCGATAAGATCCATTTGATTGTAAATCATTTAAAAAGTAATCAACAATTTTTGTTGCAGATTTAGATAAATTCTGAGCTAGAGATTTTGTCATCTGTAAATATAGGAGAAAAAATAGAGTGTCATGATTTACTGATGAAAAATATAAATTTTAACATTTATCATCAATTGAAAAGGTAGTACACTCTGTATGTATTACGTTACAATACATCAATTTGTATATAGATATTCGGGACTTCATCTTTTTTTATAATGAAGTAAAAGTAGTTGCATGGTGTACAAAAAACCGTACACGGTAACATTCTGATATTGAAATTTGAGCGATACTCCTCGTTTTGACTATCTTTTCATTGATCAAATAGAGAAGTAACTTCCGAAATAATGCAATGGTCTGATAAGTAGAAACTCAATGAGATTCGCAAATGAACTATGTTTCTCAAAATAAATGGAGGTAAAATACTCACATATTACGCTTGCATCATTCAAGATAGAATAACTTCTTCAAATAATTTACGTTCATATGCTGAGTTTAGATCTTTCAACTCAATTTTTTAATGAAATGTATGATTTTCATTAGAGATATAAGTATTGAAATTCAATTCTACGTAATTACTTAAAATGATTAATATCACATTATCAAATGTTTCACTGGTCTTTTATTTAATGTCTATAACAACACGCAAACAGTGCGAGTGATTGCTCCATTCGACAGGATGTTTAAATTCAACTAGGTTACCTCGTCGCAGTTGTCTACTTTTCTGTACACAAGTTCTTCTACAGCAATTAGTACAAGGTGAGTAGCCATATGATAAAAGAAGAAAATACACACAAGGCGAATGCTTGGTGAATAGGTCACATGCACACAAAGAAGAGAGGATACAAGAAGGGAAACATAATGATTAATGATCACTATACTATGGATATTCTTTTACTAACTTTCGTCTGTATAAGATCTCGCATCAGAGACGGAATCGGTACCCGTAGACCGGTCATTACCGCTGTGTCTTATTTAGTTTTTTTGCTCTTATTATCTCATAGAGGATATCTAATGAAGTTTTGTTAAGGTTACCTATGTCAAATATCATTATCCACAGATGAAATAATCCGAAAACTTGTCTGTTCAATGTAACTACAAAGGGTATGGATGAATGCAATAGTTATACCCATACCCTACATTCTCGGCGATAACTAGCGTTCTTGCATTCAGTCTAGTTATTAGTATTGTAATAAATGTGCTGCTGTTCATAGAATATTTTCAATTGATGTATACCATGTGAGAATAAATTATATTTGTGTCTCAAAAAATATTTTAGAAAAGAAAAATAACATGTTTTATCGTATTATCTGATGCCATAGAGTTTTTTTTAATCTCTTTTTCTTTTTTTGATAATATCACGTGTCTATGAGATGGCATGCATGTGCAAGAACATGTGTGATTTTTCTTCTATCTGTTTTTGCACTAGATATTTTTATCGTTATTAAATTATGATCGATTATAATCTAAAATAATCCAAGAAATCAATATTCCATTGGTTATTCTGATTAATTTCGCTTATATTCCATTAAAACGATTGTATAAAAACATTGCTTTTAATCATATTTTGCTTGACGACAATAGTAGGATCTTTAACTAGTTTGCTATGATCTGTATCAATTATAATTTATGATAATCGAAATTCAACAGATTCATGGAGCTAATTTTGATTTTATGGATTGTTTTTTATTTGAATCTGATTTTCAGTTTAATCTTTTTTAAATGATTATTCGAGGGATGACTTCTTCTTCAATGAATAGAAAGATCAATATAGAATGTTATTGATCCATTTTTCAAATAAAAAATCTATGAC